GCGTCAACACTCTAATCTCATTGGGCGGAACATATAATTTTAAACTTTTATTTTCAGTTTTTCGTAGTTATGAAAAAGCATAAGTGAAATGCAAATTTAAATCGTGTTTAAACGAAAAAATACCCTAAAATTAGTATGTTCAAAGTAAACAAAAACTTGTTTGGCGCAAAATCATATGTGTTTTTGTTTGAATCAAACCGACGATATGGTTTTTTTTTTTTTCTCAGTGCAGCATACATTACTTTGAAATATGTATTGAAATTAAAACCATAAATCTGTGGATCTTTGCACTTTCATACAATTTGTTTAAATTTATGCCACAAATACCAAACGGCAGTTGTAAAAGCAAAATCCTTTACAACCAAGTGTTAAAATAAACAAACAAAAAAAGTCCCAAAGTGTATAAAACTGTAATAAAAAGCAATTGCAATAATTTAAAATCGCAAAAAGGAATTATGATTAACTACGATATCGGGAACAGCTGAGTACCTCTGCGTCATTTTGCCAATACACAAGCGCACTCGGATGATTAAATTGTAGCAGCTATTCTGCCGCGCTCGATTTGTTTTTTTTTTTTTGTTTCTGCTTCCACCAAAATGGATCTCACCTTTTCCTAAGGCAACAAAATAAATGACCCACTATTCAAGAGTTGATTGTTTTCAAAATTATTGGCAAACCACTAGCGGCAATAAACGTAATATCATAGCGCATACCCACCTACATATATATCCACATTTATTCCACTGCAAATGCTAGCCTACCTTTTACGGTTATCAAAAACTCGAACAAAGAGCATCACATCGGGTATTTGTTCGCCGATTTTTTTTTTGTTTTCACTGGAAGAACAAAAAATGACAACGGAAATACTATACAGAAAGATATACGAAAAAGAAAAGCAAAAAAAAACGTTTAGAAAATATCATAAAATTGCAAAAAGAAAGGTAACAATAACGGCACACACATTGCAATAGAAGCAAATGTGTCTAGCTGGCATCATTGAAAATGGAGAGGAAACTCATTTCGTTGATTTCCCAAATGATTTCGTAAATAAATTTTAGCGCGATTGCTGAAAACAAACATATTTACAGCTGAGCTGAAATAATGAGCGCCAACAATACATTCATTTCCAGTTTGTATATTAAAGAAACAAAAAAAACATTCAAAGTTTACAACTTATGGCACTACAAAACAACAACCCTATGAACGTATCAATATTTATTTTTTTTATTACTACTTTTTTATAATCCCCCGTAGCACTATTGGGGATGGGCCATAGACTTTGTGCGAAACAAATGCTTAAATTGCATTGTTCTGTTTTCAATCTAAAAATATTAGAAATGCAAAGTGCAACAAATTTCGAAAAAAAAATGGAGGTGATGGGAATCAGGACAACTGCATTCGATTAAGCTGGTTAAATGATGAAAAAGTAACAATGGATTTGAAAAAGTTAGCTATTATGTTTAAGTCTATATGAAGTTGGAGATCTAAGATCTCTAAAGGACAAAGTAAAAGTGTAATTTATATTTCAAATACACTTTTAGATCAATGTTAAATTCAAAAAAATAATTACTTGAGTCACACAAATTCAAAAGTGGAATGATTTTCGATTCTATTGCAAACATTAAATTAAAAAAAAAAAACGTTTTTTCTACATTTGTTCACTTGAAACTTGATTTGTTATGGCTTTAAAATCAACATCTTTTCATATAAAGGGCATTCATCTAACGTGATTTTGAAATTATAAATTCCATACAAATTCATTATTTGGTCATGTTTATTGGCAGTTAATGGCGGTAGATGAATCCCCTATTGTACTTCAAATTAATATTTTAATATAAACAAAATATTAATATTTTTAAAGAGAATGCCTTGTATCAATGATCAGAACCGCTGGAGTAGATAGCCGCCGCACAGTGATCTAGAACTGCAATTTTCTGTTCCAAAAAAAAACGTTTGCTTAAAATGTTAGAAAAATTTGAGATAAGCAGTTTTAGAGCAGATTACCATGATACCAAAATCATAAGTACAAGTTTCAAACGGCTAAGAGTTCGCACTGATTTGAAAAAAGTTGTCAAAATTTTTGTCATAAATACTTCACGTACTTCTTGTAAAATTTATTTTCGTTTTAGCGGAACTCTATTGTTTTCAACTAGTTTAGTTTTATTAGGCAACATTTATTCAAAAGAACATGAGAATCATTTTTTTTTTTTAATTTAATATAAAAAAATAAAAATGAAAAAATCGGCCTCAAAAGTTCTCTTTCATTTAGAAAACAAAATATCAAGTCGTTTTAAAAATTAATAATGCCGTTTCTGAATTTTTTCAAAAGCACCGATATCCGATAAGTACACTTGTTTCTTGGCTGATTTAACTCATTTTCACTATAAATTTTATCTTATATCAAGGGAAAAATATGTACTTAATTTCTCTGCGATATCTCAATTACCTCAGTTATTTATTTAGAAACCAACCGCATGAATGCTTTACACTTAACCCTTAACTGGTATCGTGGGGCCGCAAGGATGCCACATAGGACGTTTTTCCCGCGTTCTAAAAAGGTTCGGACCGTACAAAACCGCCATTTTAAGTATTCTCATTACGTCGCGACTCGCGGCGGGTGCCGAATGTTCAGCGCTGCACACTTACCATAACGCAAGTAACCATCCAGAGTTGATGCTAAATATTTGAATGTTAATTAATGTTAAAATGACCTTTGATATTCAATATGCATATCCAACTGATAAAAAAAGTATTCAGCTCTCAAGAGAACCGTCAAGAAAAAAATTCCCATTATTTCGTGTGTGTGTTCAAGGAATTTTGACATTTTTGATACTTCACAGCCTGTTACCTCACTCTTTCCTCAAGAAATAATGGAACGGGCACAAATTTCTGTTGCAAACATGGGTTGCCTTGTGCCCTTTTATTCACAAAAAAACTTTAGAAAACCGTAGTAGAAAGCGTAGCAAATTACTTAAGAACTGCGTACTGCCTTAAGGAATTTTACCCAAGAAAATTTCTTAGCCATTTCTTGTACGTCATTTTATATCGGGTTTTTGCATTTCTTGAGAGCTGCATACTGGCCTTATATTGAAAGCACTCTCTATATGGATTCGAAAAAAAAATCAAAATCATAGTTACAAGAGAGAAAGTGAAATCCAGCTCACTCTCTCTCATTAAAATTTCAATTCGATAATGGGCTGTATTTCGAATTCATAACGAAGGGAAAATACATTGGATAACAAAGAATTCGTTTTGCTAGAGAATGACCTAGTTCTCGAATAGAATTTATACAAACTCGTAGCTAAAACTTGCCTGCCAGAAGTCGCGCCGACCCCACGATCCTATTTTCTTTGTTGCCTTTTTACACCCAAGCGAACTTGTGCACAAGGGTATTATAACTTTGTTCACATAACGGTTGTTTTAATAGCTTAAATATCAAATTAGAGGTGCCATAACCATTACACCTTAGCCATAATGTAGCAAAATTCTTCACAGCTGTTTATGATTATGGCGAAAAACTGTAATAAAATAGATACTTGCGGTTTTGGTTATGGCTCTGGTGTTATAATATGGCACCAATAATCATTTACACAGCTGCTCGTACGTTTTATCGAAATATTTAGTTGCTATGGTTATGACTATGGTATGGCACGATTAATTCAGCCTTAAGGGAATCGAATTAGATATAGACAAAGGATTCATAAATGCTCAGATTAAAAAAAAAAAATCTATTAAGCCGTGACTATCTGCCCGTCCGTCCCTGCATACGATAATTCGAATAAAACTTGAGATATTTAAACGCACCGGGTACGTGTATTTCTTTTGGGCCAAGGACGGCTGGTATTGAAAATGGGCAAAATCGGACAATAACCACACTTGCCTGCCATATAAGGGTAGTTTTCACAAATAAGAAAACTCACTCAAAATTGATATTGACAATGATCCTTAGGTAAAAAATACGAATATTATAAGTTTCTAAAAAAACCGGCGTAGCCACGCCCACTTATGATTACATGTGTATATCTCGGCAACCGCTGCACCAATTTATCCCAAACTTGACACAGTTTTTGCTTCTGGTAAAACATACAGAACGGCTGAAAATTTTTAAAATGGAAATATAACTACGCCTTTTGCATGTAACGGTAATTTAGAGAAATACGAAGTCTTCGATACATCACTGACTACTGAATCTAATTTATTCAGAACTGATGTTTGCAATAAAACTTTAGCAAGAAATACGTTTATAACAAATTGTTGTTATAAGTTACGCCCACTATTCATATAACGATACTTCGATATTTCAAAACTTCGGGACGCTAATTTACTAAAAGTTGATACTCACAACAATCCGCTGAAAAGTAATAACATTATTATTGAATTTTTGAAAATTGGTGTGGTACTGCGCAGTTGTAACTATATAACTTTATCTCATTAAGTCTAACTGAGCATACTATCGAGGATGTTTAAAATAGGTGTAAAACTACCCCCTGCTTACCAAGTAACGGTAGTTTTTGGCAAGATGAAAAAACTATATATAATACGTGCTCCGGGTGCTTAATGTTCGGCTTCGCCCGAACTAGTATTTTTTACTTCTTATTTTATTATTTTAAAAACCAAAAAGTTTCGAGAACTTCTTTATCATGTTCCTGGTAAGAATAGATATTATTAGTGAAAACAGTAAACATAAAATTCTTTCTGCATTCATACCAAAAACCCCAAAATTGCTTAGGAAATGTGAGAAAAAAAAGTTTTTGGTCCACGAAGTCAAGCAAAAATTTTTTTATAAATAATTAGATAATTCAACGTGGGTGCCACAACATGCACCGGGTAAAATTTGTAAATTTTCGTTGCTGCACGGTATTATGCTTGGAGATAATTGCTGGCATTTTTTCCTAGTTTTAAGATGGCATACATATACGCATATTGTACATAAATAATTCTTAGAAAATATTTGAGGAAAAATCTAGGCAAAATTACATCTTAATTTATCTCTTTTTTAGGATCCAGATGCATCCTTCGATATAAACGGCAACGATTCGGATCCAACGCCGCAAGATAATGGTGACAACAAACATGGCACCAGGTGTGCAGGTGAAGTGGCTGCGGTGGCTTTTAACAACTACTGCGGTGTGGGTGTCGCTTACAATGCTAGCATTGGAGGTAAATACATAAATTACTTATGTACACACATACATAGATATATTATAAAATTGTATGGAGAAACATGGAATTAGGAATTATGCCTAGCTTACTTTGCTTATTTCCAAGGAGCTTCGACATCTGTTACTTTACAGTCTGCTGTCTCCCCTTTTCCTTACGAAATAATGGAACGGGCACATATTTCTGTTGAAAACAAGGGTGCCTTGTACTCTTCACAAACAAACTTAAGCAAACCACAGTAGCAAGCGTAGCAAATTTTTTAAGAACCTCGTACTGCTTGAGAAAATTAGGCTCAATCAATTTTTCTTGAGCATTTGTTGAACGTTTTTTTATTCGTTGAACTAAAGAAATGTTTACAAATAATAACATTCAGACAGATTTGGTGTTTATTCAATTCAATTGCATTTCTGCTTGGGTAAAAAAATTAAAAACCAATGTATGGTCTCTACGGGAAGGTATTGATGTTATTCAAGAGATTAAAAATAATTTATCTCAAATGGAAAATAACGAATATTTACGAAAATTGGAACGACCTATGCAGATCTCTATTAGTTGAGAATATCACGCAACACTTGATTGTCCATTGTAATTTTTCAGGCCTTTAAATAAACTTAATGAAAAACAAAACATTAAACTGTACTTAAATTTTGTTGTTTTTCGAGCATATGTGCAAGCATATTTACTAATGTTTTAGTGCTTATCTAAGCGCTTAAAATGGTTTTTTCTTGATTATTTTCTTCGGCCCTCGTTATCACTGATTGCTTCTTTTTAGCCACCACGGAAACTTGTGTAAGTTTGCTCTGCAAAATAGACGTTGGATATATTGGTTTATTACCCACAATGAATTTGTATACAATATTTTTTACCTGAGCTTAATTTCTGTCATCAAAATGTTGAAAAAAATCCTAAGAATTTTAATTATTATTTTAATGAAAATCTTAAAAAAAGAAGAAGAAAGCATTTTTACTCAGGAGTTTGGTAGCGACTGGAGCATTAGCTTTTTTTTTGATGGGTACAGAGAGGCATAAATGTAGAATGCCATTCACTGACCGAAATGATTTATTAGTCTTCCCTTAGTAAATAAATTTATTAAGATGTAACATTACAAAATAATTGAGTTATTCGTGGTCGTAGAGATTTGTATAAATTTGTTTGCGTTGTGTTATTGCCGCCACGACACTATGACACCCCAGAGTTCGCCTCCTCCTTCCTACCCATTAATTGTACGCAGAGCGTACAGTTCCTTTTCCGGTTGCAGGTTTTTCCATTTGTATTCCATCTTCCTTACCCTCATACCAATTTCCCTTTGTTCTGCTTTGTGCTGTAAATATATGTATGTATGTATGTACATAAATCAAGCTTACTTACCAAGATATTCTTTATTTTGTTATCTTTCTCCATTTTTTTCATACACTTTATCTTTGCAGGCGTCCGCATGTTGGATGGCAAAGTGAATGATGTTGTAGAGGCGCAAGCATTGAGTTTAAATCCATCACACATTGACATCTATAGTGCCTCTTGGGGACCCGAGGACGATGGCTCGACAGTGGATGGTCCTGGGCCGTTGGCACGTCGCGCTTTCATCTATGGCGTGACAAGCGGGCGACAAGGCAAAGGCTCAATATTTGTTTGGGCATCGGGCAATGGTGGACGTTATACAGATTCATGCAATTGTGATGGCTATACGAATTCAATTTTCACATTGTCCATTTCGAGTGCAACACAGGGAGGGTAAGTTTATTTGTAAACAGACATACATACATACATAAGTACATACACATGTACATATGTAAGTATACAAGGCGTCATTGAGTGAGTTGAGTGCAACTATAATGATTAGCTTTGCATTCATATACATATATAATATCAAGTATAGATATTTGGATAACTGTATACATACATACATAATGAAAGTGCTGTCGAAACTCAAGACAAAATTAAATTTTTCTCAACAAAAGTCGGTTCTCAAATGGAACTATTTTGGGTCGAAAGTAAAAGTCAAAGTTTTAATGCTGACAATGTTTGAAATTGTTATTGCATTAATACTATTTAAATTTTATAAATGTAGGATTAAAACATTCAGGTTCACACTTAAGTAACTTTTGCTTAAACAAATTCTCCATATGGCCGGGTTTTACACATCTAAACTGCCGGAACAAAGTATTGGCACAGAAAATTGTTCACAATATACGCAACAATTCTAATATTTTTCCGCTAATTTCGTATAAAAATATGGTTCATTTTTGAGTATGCAGATTTGTAGCCCAATTAATTTTATTATAACAAAGTGCAAGTTTTAGGTAGCTAGGAATTACTGTTGATTTTTGGCAATTTTTTCCATACAAAAATTTTTTTTCGAAAATACTTTATATGGAAAAAATGCAAAACATCTTCAACAAAAACAATTCTCAAAAATCAACGACATTTTTGACTAACTATTTTTTTTACAAGAATTTAATGGGCTGTAAAACTGCATACTCAAAAAAATTCTAAAACATCTGATTAAAAAGTTGCAAATTTTGTTGAAAATTTGCTGAATTTTCGCGAGTTTTGCACAAAGTTTAGGAATTTATTTTTATATTTTTTGTTTTGGAATGAACCATATTTTTATACAAAATTACCGGAAAAATATTAGAACAAAAATTGCATATATTGTGAAAAATTTGCTGTGCCAATACTTTGTTCCGTCAGTGTATGCACATTATGGTGGTATATAACTGCAGGTGAAAAAGTAAAGTAGGAGTTGTAATGCTCTCACCCCCAGGGATTATTCTACACTAATGTGACCAACCGTACTTTCTTTCTTTTTTTTCGCTCTTGTACGTCGTACTTCGAAGTAAAGTCAAATGTACTTCTTTGCGATATTTTGTACTTCAGGAGGGAGATTCTGTAACCAGTTAGCGACAATTTTCTGATCGCTTCGACGCAAAAACATTTATATCATGTATCAAATAGTGCGATAACAATTCGAAAATTGTCGCTAACTCGCTACAGAATCTCCCCCCAGGTCCTGTACTACTCCGATCTTCTGGACGATCGTCACATGACACTGTTGAGCGACTGTAAAGTCGTCGGGACCGATGGCATCATACCTGCGCAGCTGCAAAGGACTCTGAAGGTGTCGTGCTATTGGTTGGATCCTAGTTATGTGAACGTGGAGGGTAGTCAGTCTTGCGGTCATCCCGAAGGCAGGAAAATACTCTCCTGTTTCCCCTAGGGATTTTAGGCCTACCAGGCTCTTCGTTTTTGCTAAAAACGCTAGAGAGACTGATAGACCTGTACATAAGAAACGCGATTCCTCGTGACTGTCTTTCAAGAGCTCAATATACTCATTGCAAGAAAAGGTCGGTGAATACCGCCCGGCACACATTGGTATAGTGGTCAGAGGAAGCCTTCAAGCATGAAGGTTATGCAGTAGGGGCCTTCTTCGATATCTAGGGGGCCTTTAACAATGTCACTCCAGAGGCAATAGTCAAGTATATTCATAATCTGGGGTTGAAATCAACCTAATGAGCTTACTTCGTGATAGAACTGTCGCGGCGGAGTGGGGGAGTGTCTGCACTCAGTGCAGAGTCAATAGAAGAACTCCACAAGGTGGTGTTCTCTCTCTGATCTGGATTGCGGTTGTGGACGACCTTCTAAAGGAACTGGAAAAAGTGGGCTGTCGGGTGATGATGTGGAACTTTTAGTTAAGGGACGATTTCTATACACCGTTTTTAATCTGGCTCAATGTAACCTGAACCAGGTAACTCTATGGGCGATGAACGGCGGCTGTCGTAGAATATTGAGGAAATGGTAGGAAGGGTGGAGGTTTTCTTGTACTGCTGTAGGGGAGCTATCTGTAAAAGGCGGGGTCTTTTCCTACTTACGTGGACATCACGGTACCATCCTCAGTATAATTTCAATATATAGGCGGCTGAGGTAGGGCGTTTTTTAGACATTTGGGGAGATAGGGTTTTCTCGGATCACTTGCTGAGATATACAACCAAATTCTGAAATACGGCGATTTCAACAGTTTTGCTGAGATAGATCGTTTTCAAACCGACTGCCAAGACTAAAGCGATCTTCCAATCAGCCGACGAAACATACATACATACTGTATATGGGTCCGGCTTTTAATCCACCCGAAATAGTTGTAACATTTCTGTAAAAATTTTGTGTGTTTGAATTGCAACCGTAGACACCAGCTAGTAGCGAAACTTGCAAATTCCTGCAAATTTGCGTTTATGCAAAAATTAGCAAGTTTCTCTATTTGAGAGCGAGAATTTGAAGAATTTTTTTATTCTCTGATATTTGAATGATTTATAATTATTTCTGGACTTTTCGACCAACCGAACTCTATAGCCTAAATTTTTGCAATACATACTTCTAAAACCATATACATACACATGGCCTCATTACTTAGGCACATGAATTATGTTTCCACACCAACTGTTAAAACAAATTTTGTGCCAATCTTTTGAACTCTTAAATGCTCGTGCATGCATGCATATTATTTAATGATTTAGTTTAAAACCACGAGCATAAAACACACATTAATTGCTATTATAATAAGCAAATATTGTGCATTTAAATCAACCATAAACTTTAATTACTCAAAATTACTCTGCTCATTGCATGTCACTCACTCACTCTTCACCGTACATCATTGGCTTGACTGATTGCAACCGCCAACCACCTAAATACTGTTATATTTTTATGTATGTAACATACTAGCGTTTTTTCAGTTGTGGGCAATATGTGGTGGTGCAACCACAGTTAATAATAAAATATTTACTACGCCACACTTTTCAATTAAGCAATTTATTTACTTTTAGGCAAAAATATTGCAAATAAATACTCTGCTGTTAGCTAGACTTGCTATTGTTGTTGCTTTTACGCAATTCCAGAAAAATCAATTATGGTCTATAATATCAAAATTGCTATTTATCTGTAGCCAAGAAGTGGGGCGTTGAATGTTGAGTGCAATGTTAAAAGAATATATTGCTATTTTTTTTTTTGGTTTTTGGTTTTTGGTTATGCTAAAATTCTCATTAAATTTCATTCGATTGCAGGCAATTTATTGTATGAAAATGCATTCGAATTTTTGCGCCAGTGAATTGTGTGTATCAATATGTATTAACTAGTTGCTGTTGCTACGAATGATTTAAATGAGATTTCAAAATTTCCATTTGATTGCACTGCTTTCGAATGCGTTGAGGTGTCGCATATATCCAATCATTATTTATACATACGTGGCTTGTTTTTTAATAAAACTAATTTGAATATTTATTTATTATTTGCATTACTCAAATTTACTATCGTTAACTCACATACACACGAGTAAATATATTTATGAATGTACTCTATGTACGAGTGCATTCGCATTGGAAATCAGTGGTTTCGAGGTAAAAACTTTTTTTTTGATTTTAAATGGCCCACTTTTAGGCGTTCGCATGCAGATAATTTATGCCGTTGTTTTAGTGTGTATCACTTTTAATTGGCAATTAATGAGTAATATTATGGTATTTTAATATGAAATCTGCAACATGAGAATATGTACTTGGTGCCATTATATGTATAAGTGAGAAGGTGGTTATAAATGCATATGTATAATAATAATAATAATAATAAGCGTATTACTACAAATGCAATTGTGAATAATTCCATACATTCGTTAAGAACGATTAAAATAACAGTAAAACATAAAGATAAATAAAATAAAATAAACTAAAATAAAGCGAAATAAATCCACTTAGATTACATTTTATTCTTTCAAGCCCCGATTGCCACTTTCTTAGGCCTCGTTCCCACTTTTCAATTTGAACTCACAATCAATTCAGGCGATCTTCTTATTAAGTGGGTTCTTTGCGAACGGGTTTTTTCGGGGAAGGGCAATTACACCGGCACACAAAAAATAAAAAGTGATCTGTGCATTTAACCTGACCCACGTACCGAAATGTATTTCGACCCACTGAATCTGAAACTGAGGTCCGTTTGATTCGTACACCTCCCTAGTTTGGATTTAATTGTGAAAAATTGCAAGAAATCGTAATTTTCCAATTTTACTCGAAATTTGATAAGAATTTGGTTTCATTTTTCGGAATCGGTTAAAATCCGGTTACAGCGCCTTTCCATAAGGCGAACTTGTACAATTAAATAATATAATTAACTTGTAAATATTTGATATAAATTACGTTATGCTTACGGTACTTGTTTCATACTAGTTCCAAATTATTTTGAAGAAATGTCACCGTAAATATTACACTCAAAATAACTTAACTTTGTTTAAAATAACGTAAATTTATCCGTCAATGGAACTAAGTGAAATATGTGAACTAAAGTTCAAAAGAACTAAAGTGCCCAACTCTACTTCAAACGTCCAGGTAGCTGAGGCTGTCAGCATCTCAACTGAGAGGGATACACATTTTGCATGAATGCTTCCTCACATTTGACTGTAAATGCAACTGTGCGATCACTTTTAAGGAGTGTTTGGCGATATTCAGCTGCAATTCGAACGAGTTTTGGCACCGCTTCGTAAACGCCGACGAAACGTGGATCCACCACAACACACCAGATATCCAAAAAACAATCAAGAAGTGCACCAAAAACGGTGAAAGCGGGTCTATCGGCCAATAAGTTCATTACCACAGCTTTTTGGGATGCACGCGGTGTCATTCACATCGATTACCTAGCAAAGGGAAAAACGATCAGAATCGAAAAATACGTGTGTAGTCACCATAGAAAATATCAAAAATGTCACCAAATTCAAGCCCTCCAAATCGGCCGATGCCGATGCCGATTCCTTTAAAAAAAAACTAACTGTATATAAATTCATTCAAGAACAATTGTTTTTGATAAACTTATATAATAACAAAAGGAAAACGTAAACAAATAAAATTACAAAACAAATAATTATTCAAAAAGCTTTGGTGACTATAAAGGTGTTTTATTGAATACAATTTGTTAGTAAACAGTAACCGTAGATTTTTAATGATAAAAATATTTTTTAACGTAAACAATTTAACATTAAGCGATTAATTCAAGGATAATTGTAACAATACCTACAGTAACGACATTTTAGCATTCTTTGGCTATTTCCCTTTCGTTTATTTAATGTTCCTAATTTTTTTTATGAAAGTGTTGCTCGTTATCTACCGAAAACCATGTTTGTAAAAATTTCAAACTTTTTCTTTAAACATTATGAGTATGGAGTTTTGTAGCCCATTCAATTCTCTTTTAACGAAGTGCAAATTAAATACTATCGATTTTTGGATTTTTTTTGTGGAAAGTGTTGCGGATTTTCTCCATAAAAAAAAATCGAACATACTTTGTTTGGAAGAAAATGCTAGGTACTTACCTAGCTACCTCAAAATTGTACTTTACTATACTAAAATTTAAAAAATTGCATACTCGAACGAATTCTAAGAAATCTGATTAATCAGTTTCAAATTTTGATGAAGATTTGTTAAAATTGCGGAAAAAGTAAAAAGAGTCGGCTTAAAATCGTCCAAAAACGGCCGAATCCGATGCCGATGCGGATTCTTTTGGCCGATACTAGCCAATGCCGATTAATCGTTCGGACTCTACTCTGAAACCCCTATTTGTTGGAAGGAATAAAAAAATTAAAAAAATGCTGGACTAGGAGATTACGTAAAGTAATAAGAAATTCTATTGCCATAAAAACATATATTTTATTAAAAAAGTGACAGGCTGTTCAATGTGCCTTGGAACTAGCTGATTATTTGGCGAACAAGGGCAGTAGAGCAGCTGATTTGATTTTTTTTTTTTTTTTTCAAATTATTTAGTCTCAAAAATGTCAAATATTTTTAATTTATTCTCACAAAAATTCTAAATTGTTAAAATCTATTTACATGTTAAACCTTTTTCCATACCAAACAAGTTATGAAATAGCAGCATTTGGAACGTTCGGCCAACTCGGCAGCACAACCCCCGATTACTGGGCCTTGCAAACGATGGATCAATGCTTCGAGAAGCAAACAAATTTACTTAGAAAGAAAGTTGCAACAATTTTTACTTTTTCCAATTTAAATTTTTTATTTTTTATTTTTTTGTATTACAAAAACTCAGAACAGTTTTTGACACTTTCGATACCAGATGCAACAACAAAATACACGCAAATGTTGTTTTTGCTCTAATGCTATTACCTGTTTGATATGTCTAGGCCAGTGCTTTGCCTAAAATACCACAGTATTCCGATATCCACATGAGTTCTTAAAGAGGTGCGAGTAGTTTGCGCATACTTACAGCAGCAAAGCGTTTAAAATTTCCTTCCCGGTGCCATCCAGTTCCATTTCTCGATACTTAGGCGACCGGCTATATAGTCTGGGGAATGCTAGGAAACCATAACCAAATGTGCTCGAAATTCTCGATGTTTCAGCAGACGGGCTTGTCTGGTATTGTCAATATGCAACATAAGTAAATGAGAACATTTTTAGTTAAACATTTTAAATACTTTCTAATGGAGGCAACGCATTATGTATCATGAAGCATTTTAAGAACACTTTAAACTGTTCATTTCGAGATTTTTGAAAATCGAAACTTAGCCAGAATATTGCTGGACCAGTGCTGGAATAAAAATTATTGGCAATTACTTTTTGAATCATAAATAATATTTATTACATTATAAATAATATTCACCGATTTTTGTGTCTTTGGCTTGTGGTAGGAATTAGAGTACCTCTGAGATCGACAATTATGTAAATGAAACAATACATACATATAAGACGTCAGTTTAAAATATTCCTAAACAATGCGTAAAGGTAACGCGGAAAGGACTCGAGCTTGTAAGCACATTTCGAAAAAGTTCATTAACTTTACGATGGAAATTTCGATAAACAATAAGGACATTTGCAACATAGGATTTCATGTCTGCCTAGTGTCCAACAAATTCCGAATTAGAGCAAACTTTAAGTGCATATGCAGCACCCTGTTGGAGCATTAATTATAAAAAAAAAATTGGTTTTGGCAGTAATGTCACAGTCATCCATATTAATTGCCAATTAAGAGCTTAACAGTATTTCCACTTTCAACATAATTGAGCACAACTACCGCAATATATGTGCATAAATAATATTTATTGCAAATTTATTATCTGAATTGTTGTATGATAGTATTCATTAAAACTAAAGTGGTTGTTATTTTTTTCTAATTTAAAATTAACCATTTTTTGCACTGTCTCCTCCCCTTTCCAGCTTCAAACCTTGGTACCTAGAGGAATGCTCCTCCACACTCGCCACCACCTACAGCTCTGGCACGCCCGGTCACGATAAGAGTGTCGCTACCGTCGACATGGATGGCCGCCTACGCCCTGATCACATTTGCACCGTCGAACACACCGGTACCTCGGCTTCAGCGCCACTTGCCGCCGGTATATGTGCACTTGCTCTGGAAGCAAATCCCAATCTTACCTGGCGTGANTCCAACTGAGTCGGATTTGGGCCAGCCCACAAATGATGGTGGTTACTATAATGCCGATCAATTTGCCGGCTATCTGAATTATCAGAATCTTTTTACTGGTGCCGGTTCGAATCCAGAACAAGCTGTGGCTACTGTAGACGGTCACAATATACCAACACCACAACGGCAAAATGTGATGGCCGACTCGAATAATAAGCTTGTGCTGCACGATTGTGATCCAGAATGCGATTCGCAGGGTTGCTATGGCCGTGGTCCGACTCAGTGTGTGGCCTGCAAGCACTACCGCCTGGACAAGTGAGTGGAAACTGAGTGAAAAGAAGAAAAAAATCAGTTTAAATTTATAATAAAATATTTTATTTTCTTAAATATTTTTGCAGCACCTGTGTTAGCCGCTGCCCACCGCGCTCCTTCCCCAATCAAGGTGGTGTATGCTGGCCCTGCCATGAATCTTGTGAAACCTGTGCGGGTGCTGGACAAGACAGTTGCCTCACTTGTGCACCTGCGCATCTGCATGTCGTCGATTTGGCTGTGTGTTTACAAGTCTGCCCAGATGGATACTATGAAAGTAAGTATTGCCATACAAAGAAGTATGAAAACCAAATACACATTTCCAATTTTTAAATTTGTCTGATACATTTTGAAGGAGTAATGCTTGTGTCCGAATAATGATCGTTTTCCTTTATATTTACATCTTTTCATAGACTATGACAACAAAACTTGTGTGCCATGTGAGGCTAATTGCGCTTCGTGTCAGGATCGGCCCGACTATTGTACCAGCTGCGAACACCATTTAGTTATGCACGAACATAAATGCTACTCTGCTTGTCCTCTACACACCTATGAAACTGAAGACTACAAGTAAGTGGAAACTGATTTTCAAATATTTAATCCACTTATGTTTGTTATATACAATTTATGACTTTCTCGAAATAATTTTTGTATGTATCGTTTTAACAGAATAGAGTTAATATAATTCCACTCACTCCGATTTGGGGTTGACTCCTAGCACACAAGTTATCTACGTTAACGGGCGTCGCGCAGTAAATGTCCAGCGATTTTTCTGAAAATTGTAACGTGGGCTTCTTTTGCCTAAGAATAAATAAATATGAAAATTGGTTGAATTTAGCGGACTTCGACGCCCACTACACTAGGGGTCGAATATGTTAAATTTTATCCGATTTCAATTAAATTCTATCTGTAACTTAGATTTACCTAGGAAGACATAAATCTGAAAGATGGGAAAATCGGTAATTTGCCACGCCCACCGGCCATCCGAATTCTGGATTCTAATGCGGCAGGGACTAGTAATGATCCTCCAATTCACACATTTTTCTAATTTATGGGTTTTTATGCAAAAATAGCCCTTGCTAGTCCCTGCCATATTAGAATACAAAACTCGGATAGGTGGGCGTGGCAGTAGGGCGATTTTCTCTATATTTCAGATGTATGTCTTCCTAGCTTAATCTAAGATACTAACTGATTTATATTTGATTCAGATAATATTTTGCCATATATGCCCCCTAGTGTAAAGGGCGTGGCAGTTCGCTAATTTTTACCAACATTCATACTCCTTCTTAGTGGAAGTGGTTCAAATAGAAAATTTTAGAAAAATCGAGATACGTTTATTACCTTTTCCTACAAATTTTGTAGGTATATGAAATTTGTCTTGTTATTAGTTTAAAGTGTACAGAGTGAGTATTTTTGTACCAATCACCCTTCACCTCACGGCTTCGCAAGCTACTTATACCCCCATGAGAACAATAAAAATTCATAATATCACTGAAAAGTCCTTAACTCTGTAAGGGCTAAGAGCCACCCTTGCATATTCTTAAAATTGGTACTAACGGTTTCTGAGCTGGTAAAATGCGTATTTAAATCTTACTTAAAAATTATATTCACATGGTACCGACTTCCTTTGATAATTTCTAGAGTAGTTTTTCTCTTGAAAAAATCCTTGAAAGCTGTTAGTAGAAATTAGGACTTTCTGCCACTCTCAAACCACTGTGCATCGGCAGTTAACTGTAAAATTATAATATGAAACTCAAACGACCAAGAAAATATAATACGACTTTTATGGAAGCTTGCGAATCCCTAAAATGTAGTTTTAACCATTTAAAGTTTGTCACATACAATAATATGACAGTATACATCACCTTGTGAATTCCCTAACTATATCATGAAATTTATGAAAAAAAACAGAAACTGACACGGCTTTTCCGGCTAATCCCAAATAAAAAAGCTAAGGCCCAATTTCAGATGGCCTATTTGAGTAGAGATTGTTGTTGATTAAATTAACTTAAAAATTCATTTTCAGCTCAAACATTAAAACTGCACTTAAATTACCAATATTGGCTATTTGAATATCCAACATCAGCGGTGTTTGTCAATATTACTGCGGCAATGGTGGAACTACCGACACTGGCAAAGTGCGAATGGATAATCCGTTAGAATTTTCACTCAAAAATGTAATCTGTGTATTAAATATTACTTTATCTATTACTGTCATGAATAAGGAGTTGTTAAGCTGTTAGAACAGAGATCTTAGAGGTTTCAGAAATAGCCATTTAGCTCCTAAAATTCGGGACCCTAATTCGGGACCCTAAATACATATAAAACCGAATCAAAGCAATCAGTCGTGGTAAACTTACTGCTCTTCTGTACACAGAGAATCGTAGGGGCTCTTCTTCTTCTTATTTGGCAGATTCATCGTTCTAGTTCTGAACTAATCCTAATATGTGGTTGTTGTATTTCTTTCTTTTCGAGTGTTCGGATCTTATAGTGAACGAACGGTTCTTGCAGCTCTGCGCCAACTACGAAGGTTGCATAAGTTTTATAATTGAATGTTCCCTTTGTCAGAGATTAGCCTAAAATTATACTACATATATTATATATATATATATATATATTCAAATTTTTATTACTTATTTAGTGGCAAATATTTGCAAAACTTGATTATTTAGCTATCCAAACTTTGCTGAAGTTGAACACATTAATTTTTTTAATTCATAAATAACCAAGTCCCATGGATTTGTGTATAAACTTATGTAGTTTTTGTGTGTAATGCATACATAAATGTGACTGCGAGAATTATATAAAAGTTTTACATCGCTTTGGGAGTAAGTGATGCTCTGAAGTCATTAATGTGACATTTTGCTGCACGTTGTCGTGTATCGTGACACGGTTGTCACGTTTCAAACGTTAATAGGGTTGGGAACTCAACTTATATAAATAAATTAATATATGTATATACATACGCATACATATTTATGTGATTATATGCACGCATTGAACAAGCTGCAAACGCACCGTTGCATATCTTACTTGGCAGTAATTACAAACAAGCAACATCAAAGCTTATTAAATACATACATCAACGTTAAAGCTTGTGCTTGTATGTGTTGAGCTTCTTTTACCGAGCTGCATATACTGTGTATTAAGGATGTTGCGAATGTGGATTTTTAAACATATACATATATTTTTTTTGAAAGTCATGGCTGCCAGCCGAATTAGTTTAAAACCTTGTAATTTTAATAAAAAGGCACCCATTTTTTGTAATAATTTGAATTATTGGAATCACGGATGATGAGGGTCTCAGATCTGCTTAGTTCCCGGGCGAGTTCTTGGAAAGGTTCGCCTGTAATGAATAGCTTGTAAATAGTGTTTAGTGAGCTCGTCCTTTCCTAGTTGCAGGCAGTCACAATTAATTACTCACCGCTATCGGTACCATAAGCCATCCAATCCGTTTTGTTGTTCCATTCCATGCGCTCAATGTACTTTGATATTTTGTGGCGAATGAACGAAAATTTTCAACATATCGTTAATATAGTATGGAAACGGCGTATTTCACTTTTTTTTTTTATTGCATAAAAGGATGTGGGGACTTATGATTCGATGAAATGCATCATAATCAATCAAAAAGTGAATTTTGGATAATTAGTTAGTTACGCCTTTTGTATTTCAGCGACGATCTGAGTTGTTGTTTTCGAGCTGAAAGACTAATAAAAGGAAACACGGAACTTAATCTTAATAAGTTTTATGAGAAAAAAAATAATTCACATACATATCTAAGAAAAAGAACTAGCGATACTCGCAGTTTTTTCAACAGATCTATGACAAATAATACTCGATAGCTACATAATTCTTACCTAATTAAAGGTTATCTGGAAATACCTATTGAAGAATCTTACTCTTTGACTTTAAATAACAAAAGAAGAGGGACGTAGGGGGGCCGTTTTAAGCTCCGCGATGCCGAATGTGAATATTCGCAACAACCCTGCTATGTATGTATGTACTAATCATACATATGAACAAAATTCTCTAAAAGCCGTGGCATATTGCAAGCAATTACTGCTCGTTGCAGTGGCCATCACTCGATTAATGTTGCTATTGCGAAACAGCCTTTTCAATATGTTTAAGGCTTGATTAAATTTAATTTAACAACGCAGTGCGGTTAGTTCAATGTTAAAATGTAGTGCTAATGAACTTATAAGTAGTGTTGCATTTAAAGAAAAGGCTGAATAAGTTCGGAAAAAAAATTTCAGAGTCCGAAGGAAAGTAATATACACTGCCGGGACAAAGTATTGGCATAGCAAATTTTTCACAATATATGCAAAAATTTGATGATAATATTTTTCCGCCAATTTTGTAAAAAACATAAAAATAGAATTCCTAAACTTTGTGCGAAACTCGCGAGAGTTCAGCAAATTCTCATCAAAATTTTCCTCTTTTTAATCAGATTTTTAGAAATTTTTTGAGTATGCAGTTTTGCAGACCATTAAATTCTAGTAAAAAACTGCAAGTCAAACTGTTAGTCAAAAATCGCGTTGATTTTTCAGAATTTTTTTTTGTTTTGCATTTTTTCCATAAAAAGTATTTTCGAAAGAAATGTTTGGTATGTGGGAGAGTGCGTGAAAAAATTGCCAAAAATCAACGGTAATTCCTACTTAAAACTTGCACTTTGTTACAATAAAATTGATTGCGCTACAAATCTGCATACTCAAAAAAATTCTAAAAAATCTGATTAAAAAGTTGAAAATCTTCATTAAAATTTGCTGAGTTTTGCACCAAGTTTTAGAATTATATTTTTATGTTTTTTGTTGTAGCATGAACTATATTTTTATATGAAATTAGCAGAAAAATATTAGAATGAAAATTGTTGCATATATTGTGCAAAATTCGTGTGCCAATACTTTGTTCCGGCAGTTTCACCTAAAGGTGAAAAGGTGCCAAGTCCACTTTTCCAAATTAAATTTTTTACCTCTTCTGAACATTTTAAAAAAAGAACCTGGCGTCTTGTCACCCCCTTTGGAAAGGCCGGCACTAGCGTGCCATTGGAAAGGTCCAAGTTTCGAGTCCTCGTGCTGTGGGATTTTTTTTTCTTTTTATGATTTATTTTAATTTTTAGATTTTATTTATTTTATTTATAATAAACGTTTTCTTTATTTTGATTCTTTAGATTTAAATGTTTTAATAAGAAAATTATTATTTTATTTCGTTAAATTTTTAGAACCCTCTTTTTTTCTTAAAAATATAACGCTATCTTCAATTTTTACATTTAAATTTTAGGAACTTATGTAAATTCTTCTTCTTTTGTAATTTTCTTAAATTAATTTATATTTATTAAACCTTTTTAATTTTATTTTATTTTTGAGAACTCACATATTTACTTGTTTTTAATTATTATTATTGGTTTTATATTTTAAATCTATTTTAGTTCTTAGATTTTATTGTTAAAAAGTACATTTTTTAAATATCGTTAAATTTTTAGAAATTTATTTTATTAATTTTTGTTTGTTTTTAATTTAATTTGTCTTCTTTTTTAATTAATTTGCCTTAAATTTTTAGTTTTATTGTTTTAA